TGCTAGACTGGTTTCTAGAACCACGAAGAAAAGAAATTCAGCAGATATGGACTTGGCTTCTTCAACTAAACCTTCACCTACATTGGAACTGAATGCCACTTTGGCTTCCAGATTCACCTGGGATATTGTCTTCATCAGAATCATTACCTACAAGATCATATTTAAATGTACATGAACAAGGAAGAAGATTACCTGCTTAGACCAACAAGCCTTTGCAATTCACCAAGCACAGATATGACACAGGCTTTAGCCTGCCGAAGTTGTGACTGCCTTCTTGTCATTGAAGCACGCTTCTTCTTCCTTTTCTTCTTATCCTTAGAAACTGTAATTCAAGAGACAAGGAGCACTAAAACCTAAAAATCACAGCCATTGTAATAATTAAAAACTCAAATGAAATCGAGTACATGACAATGCAGGCACAACAGACTCTGAATAAAATGAAGTTTACAACAGAGAAAGATAAATGGCGAACCAAGTCCATGGAGTGCGACAATGGTTGTCATTCGGATTGGCTAGAACTCTAACAGCCCATGAGAGAATTTTCTCTGCTATCATCACGTCTAACGACAGACCAATTAGTAATTTACTAGGGGAAGAAAGCAAGCACATTTTTTTTCGCCTATGCGCTCAGAGAGAGAAGAGAAAGTTACTAGATTTGCTGGTTCTTGTCACATACACAGGCATGCATATGCATTGTGAGGTAAAGATTAAGTAGGGGAAGGAAGAGAAGAATGATTGAGGTCAGTTAGAGTGTGAGGCCAACCCCATGTCCAATAGGATCATTCTTGTTGGAGAAGCATAGCATTGAACAGTGAAAAATATAGCAGAAAGAGATTAGAGTCTCTCTTTCTCTCTCTCTGGTGACAATTAAGTGTTGTAGTTGGGTGCTTTGAGGAATAAGCAAAGGTGGTGGGCACGTATTTGATTTATCTTGCTATCTAAGTCAAAAAAAAACTTCCTCAAACTTAGTAAACAATGTGCCAATGAGATATATTTATTTATATGCCTTTGGTAGGAAAAAGGGTATTGGGGGTTATTTGGCAGTGTCTGAGAGAAGAGGCTCTCATCACTTTATAATCAATGAAGCTTTGAGAGGACACTAACTGTTTTTCTCTTTTTGGGAAGAAGAATAAAGTGCAATAGATTTCCGTATAACTACCTGCACCTGTTTCGCTGTCAAGCCTTGTAACTTTGGCATATATATGCTTTCCATGCACCACAACACATCCTCAAGAAATTATATTAAACTTAGAGTAATGGGGTCGTAAAAGTATGTATCCTCAATCATGAGCAAATAATACCATGAATTGCTTCCCAAGTTTAATTTTATCACTCAGCTAATTTCATTATTAATTAATTGAGCCCATAAATAAACTAATTTGAGTATTACTTAGAAGGTATGAAAATGGTTTTCCTGTTTAATTTACATATATATTTGAGGTTAACATATTCAAATTAAATCCTGAATGTACTGTTAAAAGGTTGAATTTTATTTCTTTTCATTGAGTTTTTTTCTACAACAATATTGAACCGTTTTATATCAAGTTTTAGTGATACTAATTAATTTATATTTTTAAGAACTATCAAATCTTAATTATTAAATTTAATCCAACAATTCACAAATTGCAACATCTATTTAATGGAAAGGGCATAACAGGCCAATTTTTGGGCCCAAACAGGAGAGGCCATTTGATATATATATATATATATATATGTATGTATGTATGTATGTATGTATGTATGTATGTATGTATGTATGTATGTGTGGGAAAATGTGTAAAACTGTTTTGAATAAAGAATAATGTTGTAATGATGTTTAAGTATAAGTAGACTTAAAGCGAATGTAAAAACTCTCACATTGAATAAAATTAAGTTTAATAAATGGCATACATAATAAGATAAAAGAATTTATAAACTTGAGTTTTTATATTTTGAGTTAATAAAACATGGTGTCTTCCACTCCTCATCGCCAATTTGTTTTTTTCCCTTGGTTTGGGGTGGTGGTTTTCCCATTTGCAACAAATGAGATTTTTAAAAAGTGGAGCATGAATCTTTTAAAAATTTGAACACCAAATTTTGTAAGATACTGCATTGATTTTATGATAAAAAAGAATTTTAGAATATTCTTGAACTAATTGTCAAAGTTGAGCATGGGGTACAAATACAGTACTATTGCTTGAAGCATGGTTAAAAAATCATGAAGATTTTCCGTGTTAGATAGTATACGTATGGTGAACGAACTGGAACATGTGCTGGTATTACTGAAAAAAGGCAATTGAATCTGGTGGGTGTACAGTTAACTCAAATATAAATGAATAAATAAATAATGAATGTGAGGATCATTGTACGTTGTCCACAAGTCAAACATCAGAATCTCCATCTCGTAGTATTTGTCAAGTGGGGAAGGATCAGTGGTTGAATCAAATTTGATTTGACAAAACTTTAAGAAGTCTAAGTTAAAGGGACACCAAGTTTTGAAAGATGAGAATGTTGGAAATTAAAGATGAAGTGACAAAGATTAAAGTACACCTAAAGGATTTGGATTAGAGAACTGCCCAGACATGGATTCTCCATCCTTCGTTAAACCCCACCTAGCAGAAACTTGTAGCCATCTTACCACACACTCTCTTTTTGTCTTTTGTTTTTAGGAACACAAATCCTACATTCATAAAAGACATTTGCGTCTTCTCTAGCTTTTTCAAGAGACATAGCTATAAATTTACGTATAAATAAATATTTTGTGGATAAGACTCTCACCAGTCACGCAACTAAATAAAGATAAACCATCGTTTTTCAACTTATCTTTTTATCTATTAATTAATTGATCTATCACATATGTGTGTGTGGTTCACCACAAAAAGAAGAAGCTCTCAAAGAGATCACTTATAGTATATATAAATCATTTAACAACAAAATGATTCAAACCCACCATGATTATGTGGGATAGTTTGGACCTGTTAATATAAAGTAAAATTATATTGTTTTGAAAAACGTTAAGATGACATTATATTAAAAAATATTTTAAGATATCGATTGCATTGGTAAGAAATTTTCAGGAACATGTTTGTACATTAATCCTTTTTTCCCTCTCCTTTTTCACTGCTTACATTTGTTTTCCATTCTTCATTTCCTTTAAAAATGCATGCAGCCTACTCAAACTTAGTAAATTGAAAGATAGCCTTATTTGTTAAAAAAAAAACAGAGAGAGCCTGCCTATTTTATATTTTGGTGTAATTTTTTTTTCTGGCCAAAGTGTACACTTTTATTTAAAATTAACAAAACTAGCTGTATGCACATGCATAATTTAAAACCACATATTTTATATCAATTTTTTCCATAATAAACAATTCAAAATAAAAAACATTTAATCAATATATAATATAAAAATCATATTATTTATAATTTATAAATAATATAATTTATATGCAAAAAATTGTGCAGTAAAAAAAAAAGGAAAAATTGCAGTTTCAAGTAAAAAGGCTACCCCCCCCCCCCACCCAAAAGAAAAAAAAAAACCCCAAATAAAGGGGAAAAAGAAGAAGTAAAGTTGACACCACACACCCCGTTGTGTCCGAGATTGAAGTAGTATCCATTCCTAGCTTAGTCATGGCCGTAAAGCCCATCTACTTGTATATAGCCCAAAAAGTGATGCTCTAACTGGTCTCTGGATTGGTCCATTTGTTAGACAAGTTAACTTTAAATTAAGCCTCTAAAGTTGGTATAGAAATTAAACAATTAACTAATAATTAGTATAAAATTGAGATGGCAATGAATAAGAAATTGATTTGAAAATTTAAAAATAATTTAATTTTAAGCCACTAATTCTTATGGATCAAACATCTAACGTCCAAAGGCATCTCAAGACAAAATTAAACATCCACACATACTAATATTTGTTTGATTGATCTGACGGGTGAAATTAATTTCAATCAATATACAGTTTAGAAAATCTTTCGTGAATAGTTCAACTTCAGCTTTAGATGTTCAAACCCACCATTCCAGAAAACAGGTTTATGCCCCACAAATTACAATTGTATTTCATACAGACCAGCTACAATTTCAACTGATTATACAGCTAATAAATGAATCATCATATTGTTGCTCAAATTGGTTTCGCCATTTTTGCACCATTACCATGGCGCTTGTAAGGATCGTGCATCTTTTGCACCTCAAGAGCACTAAAAACACCATATCCACCATTGGTTTCATCTTCATCATCATCACTGTTCTGATCAAGCTCCATGAGCTGCTCATTGTACTTGATACTGTCAATCCTCGTCTTCGTCACCCTCCCATGATCTGCCTCGTACCCTTTCAACAGGTTAACAACTTGCTTCATGTTTGGTCGCTTCTCAGGCTCGCTCTGTACACAAAGAGCAGCCACATTGATCATCTGCTCAACTTGTCTCTCGTCGAAGTTCCCTCTAAGTCTTCGATCCACCATGTCCCTGAACTTGCCTTTGCTTAAGAATGGCTCAGCCCACTCTGTGATGGTTCTCTTGAGCCCTCCTGGAAGCTTCTCGATGGGCTTCCTTCCAGTCACGAGCTCTAACAGAAGAATCCCGAAGCTGTAAACGTCGCAGCTTTCAGAGACCTTGCCCCACATGGCATACTCAGGAGCCAAGTACCCTAAAGTTCCCTTCACACGGGTCGTCAGGTGGCTTACTCCTTCTGGGATTAGCTTCGCAAACCCAAAATCAGCAACCAGCGGCTCGAAGTCTGAGTTTAACAGAACATTGCTTGCCTTTATGTCTCTGTGAATGATATGAGGCGTCACCTCGTGATGCAAATACCTGGCAAGGACAAATAGTATATGTTAGGTTGTGCAATTATGTGAATGTATAGTCAGATGAGAAGTTCTATGTCAAATAAAGTTAAACTTCATATTTTCTTAAGAATGAGAAGTAAACGCGCATTCTCCCTATGTCCCTAACCAGAGATATTGGAGCTAGGTTTTGTTAGGGACTTGCATAAAAAGAAACGAGGATGTTGAAAACCCGTTATCATGCACCCACGTTTGAAACCCATAAATGGATCTATCTCTATGTGGCAGCGGTTTGGACTTGGATGTGATACAGTTTGTAACCTAAATATTGGGCTGGTCCAAATTGAATACAGTAGGGATCAACTTCAGTGTTTGTGATATCATTCGACATGATGAGCCTATATATGAATCATTCACATTGAGATAAAGATTGTTAGGTTGTCTAAATAAGTGTAGAATTAAGTTAATAATGTGAGAACTGCCATGTAAGATAAAATTGAACTTAATAGTAAATATATAATAAAATGACAGGGCCAACGTGAATTTTAAAGTTTTGATTTCAGAGATGATATCCTCCCACTATCCTTATCCAGTTTTTCTTGGATCGATTTGTTCGCTCCCTGTTCTTAACAGTGCATGTATATGCGTGTCTCAGTATATATATGAATGTGTGGGTGGGTGTATATGTGTGTGTATATATATATATATTTATGGGGTACTTACAGTAGGCCTTGAGCAGAGCCGATGGCGATGTTCATTCTTCGTTTCCAGTCGAGGTGGACTTCAGAGGCGAACTGGCCGTGGAGGTGAGAGAGGAGGCTGAGATTTGGCATGTAATCGTATACTATCAGTCTCTGTTCGTCGCCGGCGCAGTACCCTCTCAGACCCAGCAAGTTCTTGTGCCTCACCCTCCCCAGAACTTCTACCTCTACTGCGAATTCCATCTCTGCCTTTGAGTTCATGGCTTTCAGCTTCTTCACTGCTATCTACAATAATATTAATTTTTAAACCACGCACAATTCAAATTACCACCCACCATCAAGCAATTAGAAACTGTGATTCATTAAACTGGATCAGAAATCAAACCTGGAGACCATCAGTGGTTCTTCCCCAGTAGACACTTCCAAAGCCACCTTCACCAAGTTTACAATCCTCACTGAATCCTTTGGTGGCCGCATGCAACTCCTTGTATGTGAATATTCTCCATGAATTGTTGTTCGCCGCACCACCTGATGCTGATGGCCTGTAAATAATGTCAAGCAAAAACCAGTTGATTAGTTTAATTTACTACATGGCAAGCAAATCCATATGCATGTGATTGAAGAACTTGGAAACTAAAATTAAGGTGATGTAATTATCACTTACACTTCTTCCACCTTGTCTGAACCACAGCAACTTAGGTTGGATCCCATAATTGAAACTATGGGATCACAAGTTGATGACGCTCCGGAACTTGATCGGACTTCGTTAGTGATGATAATGATATGTCTCCATTTACAAAATGGAATCTTCTCTTATAAAAGCTCATTAAATTCCCTTTGGTCTCCACTTGCCGGCCGACCTTGGCCGGCCGGCTCATTAACTATATATATTTTTCACATTTAGACTTCTGCTATATTCAAATGCAAATATACATATATATATATATATATATATATATATATATATAATATGCTACTTATTTGGCATTTGTTCATGCCCAAAAGAATTAAAAAGGGACTCAACTCGCCAAAAATTAATCATTGGTCAGCTGAATTGAAACTCAAATCAAGGGCTGATCGAGTAGCTGTTTGAGATTATTCTAAGTTGTCTCTTGGAAGTTTTGATAACGTATCATCGTTGTCCATTAATTGTATAAAAGTTTTGATTTTCTCTAGTTGATTAACTTAATTTGTGCATGTATAAAATAATAAGGGAATATACATAAAAATAGGTTGTTATATACATATACTTCTTCGATTGTGCTTTGTTTTTAGTCATTTAATTTGATTCGTCTGTAATATTAATCTCTATAGTTTTAAAAATGTATATAAAAATTGCGAACAATACTAACAGAATTAATTTTAGGACGAATTTCAATTATGAAAGACCGTCCGAGAAGGGGTAAATTTGGCTTTATAAAAATTTTGCTAATAAAATTAAGGAGATTAGCTTAGAGCAATATCACCAAAACATAATGGAGAGAAAGGAAGAGCAGCTAGTATGGATATTTATTTTGGTTTAGCTCCAACCACTTGAGCCTATTTTCAATCCTAAAGCATCACTAAAGATTTGCTTAACTAAATCCACCAAGATTAATGTGGGTTTTTGGTAGCCTCAGTATAATCCTAAACTTATACTAAAGTCTAAATTACTCCCTATGATAAACATAATGATATATCCATCTTAAAGATGCTCTATTTCAATAAAGAAAAGCAAAGATGAACAAAGTAGGTTCAAAAATAACCTATTACTATCAAACACTCTCTCTTAAAGTTGATATGTAATCAATGAAGCTCACTCTTAATCAATTAAAACTCAAAAAGTTGGTAAACAATAAATGAGAATAACTCTGATTCGTTTGTGTTCATTTGCCTTCCACTGTCTTCATAAATGCTTGTATTTATAACATGGCTTTAAAAATGATCCATTACTCTTAAGAAAATAGCTGTTAGACTCATTGTCATCTTTTTTTTTTTTGAGTAATTTGAGCATTCTCTGAAGTGAGGCAATGTAACAGTGTTTTTTAGCAGAGCTTTTCTTCTCACATGGAAAGTAAGGAAAATAGCGTTTCTCTTCATTAAATGTTCTTATGTGAGAGTAGCTTGTTTTGGAATAACCAAGCTATTTGCGAATAAGGGAAACGTAAAAGAAAACTGAACCCAAGATAGTTTAAAAACATTGTATGAAAATTATAATACACATATAACTCTCAAGAGATGGAAGGAAAAGAAATGGGGAGAGTTTTGAAGAGTCCTTATTTCTTTCATGAAAAATAGAGTATGAATGTTTAGGTTTATTTTAAAACAAGTGACACTATTTCAAAATAGTGAAGAATAGCATAACACTGAGTCATAGAAAGCTATTTTGAAGTATGAATATTATATCAGAAGATGTTTATGTAAACATTAATTCAAGGTTCTTTGTTTTGGAATAAGTGAAGCCATTCCTAAAGAAATTATTTCTAAGTGAGTAGTTATTCGTGAAGAGCTTAGAAATAAATATGCACTATTTTTGAAACAAGGGAGCTTCTTTTAGTATAAGATTTTTCTTAATATAACGTGAGGCTATTTGAAAATAAAGAGACATATTGAGGAATAAGCTATTATCTTGAATATAAAGTTATGAAAAATGCATGCGAGTAGCTTAGAATAAAGAATGCAGTATTTCGAAATAGGAAACCCTCTTTCGGAACAAGCTAATTCTGACTAGGTAACATGAGACTATTTGAAAATGAGAAGATATATTTAGGAATAAGTTATTTCAAAATAGAGATTCTTGTTTTGAAATAAGGACCAGAAAATCAAATAGAGACATATTAAAGGCTCTCAGAAATTTATTTTTTATTCTAAAATTGTTTGAGAATCCTTTCATTCACTATAAAAGGGTTTTAAGGAATTAACATAAAGTAAAATCTTTTAACTTGAACAAAGATCCATTTAAGAAGGAATCGGTTAAGTTGCTTTGACTATTTGAGAATAAGCATATTGAAATAGAAATAAGATAAAAAGCCAGAATTTCAAGATAAAAAAGAACGAATATCCTTAAATGCCTTTAACATATATATATATATATATATATATGCTAATCCCTTAAAACACAATCTTCTCTTATTTTGTTATCATCAAAATGAGGGTTTAGCAAGTTAAGGACTACTGTAGAGACTTAATTTTAGGTGAATTCAAAAAATTGTAAAATTTCAATTCAATTCAAGGGAGAAAAGTCAAAAAAAAAAAAAATTAACAGTGAGAAAACCAAAATAGCATTAACTTATTATGCAAAATTATTAGTTGTTAATTTTTTTACTCCACTTGTTAATTTACGAATATGAGTTGTAAATTATATAAGTTGATATGTTAATAATTATATAAAATTTGACATCTATTTTTAATCATAAGCAGTAACACCAGTTGTTAAATTATTAACTTTACTTATTAATTTACTAACATTAATTATAAATTATTGAAAGATCTTGTAATTTACAACTAATGTTAGTAAATTAACAAGTAAAGTTAATAAATTAACAACAATGTCACTGATTGTTTGACAAATGAATGTAATTTACAAGTGACACTAATAATTTAACAAGTACAGTGAAAAAATTAACAATTAATGATTCTGTATAACAATCAAATGTATTTTGGTCTTTTTAAAGTCAAATTCTTTTGATTTTTGGGTTTTCTTTGTATCCTGTATGATGTTATCTCTGTATTTTTTTATTGTGAATGTAATTCAGTTTTCATCCAAAAACAAACTTAAACCTTAGGTTGTAATGATTATTCAAACTTAAAATCTATAATATATTAATTACGTTCAATTTTGTTTATGATTCTGCGGCCAGCTGAATAAAAAATCTTACGTACATTGACATCTTTAACTAGTCCAATAGCCAACATTTCCCTTTGCAAAAAAAAAAAAAAAAAAAACTAGTCCAATAACTAACCAAGGTTAAAAAATGTATATTTAACCATATCTGGTTCATATTTTTTTTTAATACTCTTAGTTTTTATTATAAAACATTTTTAACTATTTTATCAAAATCAAGGAAAGATAATTAAATTATTAACTTTGTTTGAAAAAAAATAAAATAATAATTTTATCCATATTAAATGAAAACTTTTAAATTTGAATTACATTTTGTTTTATAATTGCTGAATTTAAATAGCAGTAATATTAAAAAAATATTATTAATAACCTACTAAGTGTTTTATATTTATTAAGGACAATCGATCCCTTTTCAAAAGTAGTATTTTATAATAAGGATTGGACGGAGTATATATTTAACCATCTCTGTTTCATATTGTTTTTCTTACTATCAAAATTGAACTACAATAACATGATTAACTTGCACTGTTTAAATTGTTAAAGGGTAAGATTGACTTAATTAAATTAGAGTGGCCGTGTTGAAATGTGATAATATCATTAGAGAAACTAAAGTGCACCCAGGGTATTCTATATAATGTATCTGAATTGAGTATCCAGACAAATTAGTAACATCTAAAATAAGAAAAAATCATTCAACGACCATGAAAGCAATTTAATATTAAAGAAGGACACAAAAATTTTGAAATAATATCACTACAAGATTAAGAGACTGATTTGAAAATAATTTTTGATGAGAAAAGACTATAATACCCGTACTTTTCTTTTCTTTTTTTTCCTTTACTTGTCAACTAATGAATAGTTTATTGTTAAATACAAATAAGTACTTGTTAATTAAAAATGGCTACTTATTGAAATGTGATTTATACTTGTTTGTTCTGAGAGCTTTTTCAAATTCTTGAACTTATGTCAATTAGCAAATGACTTATTTAAATGAGTACTTGTTAATTAATGAATGACTACTTATTGAAATATAATCTACATTTGTTCCTTCCTATAACCAAGTTTTTTCATATAATTAAACTTGTCAATTAGCAATTATTTCTTGTTAAATATGAAAAGATTTTTGTTGAAATATGATTTACAATTATCCCTTCCCACAATCAATTTTTTTTATATTTTTAAACTTGTTAAATAATAAATGACTTCTTATTAAATATGAATGGGTATTTGTTAATTCACGAATAGTTATTTGTCAATTAAAAAAAGAAAGGCAAGGATATTATAGTCTTTTTCTATTTAAAATTATTTTCAAATCAGTTCTCTAATCTTGCAATAATGTTATTTCAGAATCTTTTAATCTTTGATTGAGATTAAATATTCTCAATAATTCTTGAATGATATTTTCCTTTTAAAATTACTTGAGAGATAGGAAAGTATCTCAACCTTGAAACTTTTGTTTCTCGGAGTTTAATAAATCTCAATTTTCCCAATGATTGAAAGATTCTCGTGAAATTAAATGTCAAAAAACAATTTTGCAACGTTTCCACACAATGACGTTCTCGAAGCTCATTTTTTTTTTTGGGGTAAAAATGAAGCTCATATTTTTTAATTGAATAACATCCTTAGTTCCATACGTTTTCCATAATTCATTAAAAAATAGAATACATTTAATTAACAACGACAAATTGTAATTAAAATATTTGGTCAACAAAAGATTTTTTTTTTAAAATCTGTTACATATGGAATAAGTTTTGTGCATATAATCTCTATATGTTGTCATGCAGATATGTCATACAATGTTTTTAGAACTGGATCGAACATTAAACATAAAAAGGTTAGCAGTTCACATGGTCCAATTCGATTAAATTGGTGACGTAATAATTAAATTAAAAATTATATATGTATATAATAATTTAAATATAAAAAATAAATATAAAATTGCTACTTGACATAAAAATAAAACCAAATATTTTAAATTCGTCATGACTTAATAA